ATTCAGGAGTGTGAAGCAAAGGCCCTTCCCACACATTGTCACGGTCACTCCCTGAGCTTAGGTGTAAAGGATGCAACAAATAATTGCCAGATCTTATCTAACACCATGAATAATACGAATGAGATTGTTAAACTCGTAAAGTATTCTCCCAAACGAGAAAATTTACTTGGAGAGCTGAAGGAAAACCTTCAATACAAGGACGAGGAGGAAGAAGACGCGGCGGCTGCTGCTGGACTTACAAAATTCAGTGCAACTAGGTGGACGGTTCGAGCAATCTGTTTTGAGAGAGTAATTGATAATTATAACGTTATTTTAAAGCTGTGGGACGAGTGCCTCAAGACAAAACTTCCACCAGATATTCGTGGACGAATCATAGGATGTAGCACCCAAATGGAGTCTTTTGACTTCTATTTTGGATTACATCTTGGCGTGACGATTTTTAGGCACACGGACAATTTGTCAGCAACTTTACAAAAGGCAAATATGTCATCGATTTCCGGCCAACATAATACCAAGCTGACAACCGAGGTATTGAAGGGAATACGAAATGAAGAATGTTTCAAGTCTTTCTTCCAAACCATTTTGAAAAAGAAAGAGGCCTTGAAAGATATTTCGGAACCCGAAGTACCAAGAAAGAGAAAGGCACCTGCAAGATATGAAGTGGGAGAAGGAGAACCTTGGTACCCTAAAACGTCGGAAGATTTGTACAGAAAAATCTGCTATGAAGCTCTTGATCTGATTGTATCGGCCATCAATGAACGTTTTGACCAGCCCAGTTTTAAAGCTTATGCAAAATTAGAAGCACTTCTTCTAAAATCTTTGAAATCAGAAGACATTTCTTATGAAATGGCCTTTGTAAAGGAGGTTTACCATCAGGATATAAAAGTGGAGTTTCTTATCCCACAATTGGAAATTTTCAAAGTATTAATGAAGGAGAAAAAACTAGAATATTTTGCTGAGGTCTTAGACGCTGTGAAAAATTTGGATCACAATACCCAGCAAATGATCAATGAAGTACTCACCATATGTAAACTCCTATTGGTTAATCCGGCAACCAGCGCAACTGGTGAAAGATCATTTTCAACCGCACGACGAATAAAAACATGGCTTAGAGCAAATATGTCACAGAGGAGAATCAGTCATCTGGCGATATTAAATACCCACAAAATACGAAGTGACAATATACGGTTATTGGACGTAGCCAATGTATTCGTGTCCAAGAATGACAACAGAAAACGTAACTTTGGTTCATTTACGGAGCAGGATCTCTGTTACATTCTCAACAATAATCTTTAATTAAAGAAATCCAGTAGAATTAGTCAGACTTTTGGACTATAACTCCTTTGGACTATCAGACTTTTTAAAAACGTTACGTTATTCCTTGTTTCTTTCCATTTATTATTTTCTTCTTATGTATTAGTAGGCTCACACTTTCCAGAAAAACATCTCTGAGAAAAGTAAGGACGATAAGTATGGAAAATGCAATTTAAATTACGCTTAAATAAGGCATTAAATTTTCGACGAAAAAATCTATTCAAGGAAAATGTACTAAGCGAATAAATTTTACTCTTATATAATGCCTTGCTTAAGAGTCATTCAAGAAACTTTTTAAGAGAAACTAGCAGGTTTTATTGCATTTCTGGGGCTCTGAGAGGTCTCATATTTCAAAATTTCCCGGGGGAGCATGCCCCCGGACCTCCGACCAGCTATTTACACCCGGGTGTTTGAAAACATAGCGAAGTGCAAAGTTGTCCTCCATTATGTGAATGACGGTCTTCGACGTTATTGCGCATGCACGTGTTTTTCATTTTGCAAGCACGCAGGCTAATTTTGCAAAGATGTATTTTGCTATTTTACAATATATTGTGGCGATGTATTTCGCTATTTAACTGGAAACAAGCCTGCAGTTTCATGAATTAGTGGCTGTCAACCGTGAAACAAAGTGTGAAAGGCATGCATAAACTGATAAACACGAATTTTGTTGAAGACGAACCAGATGTTTTCAATATAAAATTTAATCGTTGTCTTGACTCTTGGCTATTTTGGGTAAGTGTTATAAACATTTCAGTATTAAAATTTCATACCGTACTTGCTTTGTGTTTTCGATTTCATTCATATCGGCGATATGAATGAAATGAATTTTATGCCATTCAACTCAATAAATAATATATTTTCATTGCAAGCTGGTATTTACATGAAAATGTATAAATGTAGTGATTTTAAATATTGTTTATTTGGGGCAATTAATACAGCGTATAGTGTTTTTATGCGTGTTTATTACCGAAATCAGTAGAGTGTCTTTTCCGGAAGTTGAAAAGACAGTCAGAAGCCAGTAGAAACGTTCATGTTTTATGACGTCACGGTGAAGGAATGCAGCGTAGAACTTGTATGTTATTTTACTTACTTAGTAACTTTATTTAGTTTGACAAAGTGACAATGGCTCGCCAAACACAAAACAAGCTTTTGAACAAAGGGAGAACTAGGGTGAGGCGGTTTTTCGGTAAACCGAAAAAAACCGAGGTTTTTTTAAAACGAATTACTCGATGACGATGTTTATACCGGTTTATACTTTTGGAGAAAAACCGGAAAACCGAAAAAACCGGGGGAAAACCGAAATCGAAACATACTTATACGAGTTTCTTGCAAATGAATCAAGTTTTGGCATTTACACACGAAAGGCTAAAGAGATTTTGTTTGAAATTTGATGACATCTTCAAAATACCTTACGTTATAAATATCATTCTACAATTTCGCGCGAGCTTGAAGTCTTGAACGGATAAGCGGATCAAGCGATGGTGAATTTTGATTCGCTAGTAATAAAGGCGGACGTCTGCGAAGACAGGTCTCAAATATTCAATAGCGTGTGTTGTTGTCTTTTTAAACCGATTTTCGAACATATTTTTTAAAAAAACCTGTTCACTCGGTTTTTCGGGTTTTTTGGTCTGTTTTCGGTTTTTTGTAGAAACCGCCTCACACTAGGGAGAACTTTTATTCGTGGGAAGGCACTGGGAGAAGAAATGCAAAGTTACTACAGGGAGTTACTAATAAGTAAAATAACTTACAAGTTCCACGCTACATTCTTTCATCGTGACGTCATAAAACATGAAAGTTTTTACTGGCTTTTGACTGTCTTTTCAACTTCCGGAAAAGACACTCTACTGATTTCGGTAATATAATGGTCTTTTTCCTACAGCAAATATGGCTTCACCAAAATATAACTCAAAAACTAGCTTTTGTTTATATAAAGCAAATATATTTTACCGTATTTTCGAGCAAACTACTGACTATAGTATTGTCAACAAAACGAGTGTTTCAGCTTCCCCTGCAGTTCCACGGCAAAGTGTCGAAACGCTTTACCGTTACATTTTACATTAACTTTTAGCCGATTGAAAGCCACATAACATAAAACTACATTCCTTTTAATAACAAATTATGAAAATCAACGATTCTTTTGGTAAAAAATTATCTCCTATTATTTTCTCATATTATTTTCATGTTACCATAGCGACTATTATTATTTTGAACATGGAGTACTTCATGTTGAATGGAATTTCTATACTTCATCTGTTAAAAAAGGCGAGGGTTTACTGCATGCATGTATTTCTAGTTAGAGATTTGTATTGCAGAATGGCCATTTGGCTGAATAATTCGACTATTTTTCGTAAACGAACGATTCAAATTACAAATCACGGCCGCTGGTTGTAAATTGAAGGTTAGTGCATACATTTCTGTTGGTTATGAGCTATTAAAGAATTGCTAAATGCGAAATGTTAACGTATTAATACATGTTGTTTACTTACAAAGTATACAGTACAGTATATAGTATACTAACATGATAGTTTGGTTTATTTATTTATTGGAAAAATTCGATGTCTTCGAATTAATATTGTAGTAATAGGAATGAATGTTAATGCACTTTCATACTGCCACTTTGTACAGTGTTGAATGTCGAGTGCGATCGTGTCCGTGAAGTTCTAGATCTTTGAAATGTTTTTGAATTACATGATTCATGAAAATGTTTCACATATTTGCACCTCTTGCACTTTAAATAAACTGGAGTTCAATCATTATCTGCAATTGGTCTATAGCAAAGAGTTATCCACTTATTATCGGCTTCCCTGGGGGTCGACCCCCGGGACACCAAGGGGCGTTTGTTAAGAGGACAAAACAAAACATTAACAAAGCCCCTGCATTCGTGCAGGGGAAAATTTAATCACAAAAATCATGTTACAGCCCACCACCTAACAAACAACGTCCCTAACAGAAACAATATATAATTACTGCATATAACTGGTGAACTGGATACAAAATACAGCAGAAGAGTAAACAATCTTTAAATATATATAAGCGTCCAAAAATGTCAGGTTCAAGCATGTAAAGCATGCACGCTTGAAAGAACTTTAGTTGCGCATGCGCTGAATTATATAATTAGGGTAAGATGAAGTCTATACTATTCGAACTCAACAATTCTTAGATACCGCTGACCATATGTGAAACAAAATCCCGCGGGTATGTTAACCGTGCCTGTTACAAAACCCATGCAATTTCCCTTCTCCAAGGGACACTATTTTTTTACAAAAGATAACAAATCCCCTCGTGTTCCCAGGGGTTCCCCTGGGGTGTCCCGGGGGTCGACCCCCGAGGAAGTCGATGATAAGTGCATTAGATAAGGAACTAAACTCTTTTTTTCTTTATAAATGTAGATTATCAAATTACAGATGTGTGACTTTGATATACTTTCTGTCTTTTCTTTTGCAGGAGGAAAAATCACGATTGGCGAACTTCAAACAGTAAAAAATCCGCATCCGTAAGAATAACTTCTGAAGAAATTCAAGAGGAAAATCAGGACAGGTATGGAATGGTGCAGGGACAGTCTTGAGTTTGCTTAGAATATGTTTGCCAACACATGAACTCTTGGTGAAGATGGAAATGTTTGTGAAGAAGACATTCTCTAGACTCTAGTTGTGTAACATACTCCAGGTATGGTATTGTGGGTGCATTCAGCCCTCCAAAAGGAACTTCTTCAGACTCATATGCTTTAAAATATAGCATAGAAGTTTCCGACTGTCGTCTAGTTCATGTGGCACAAGAACAGGTTTGCATGTTTCACACTGATGCTTGGTAAAACATTTCTTCAACAGATACCCAGAGACATAGGCGATGGCGTTTTCTCTTGTCAAACTGGAACTTACGCTGTTTTCTTTGTAATCCATAGGTCCAATATCCAACGTGTTTGGTTGAGGTGGTGGAGCAACCAGGATTGGAACTTTGGCCAGTTTGCGCTTCTTACCAGTGCATTGAGCCAGTAGAGTGTCCAAGTCGTCATCACAATTGCCAGCAGAGGAATTAAGAAAGGAGCTAAAGAACAACTTCCTAAAGGCTCGAGTGAATTGGACAGGTGTCGGGTTATCGCTATTCCCTCCCTGCTGGCGTATTGAACCAAAGAAATTCTCAATGGGATCTGTGTTTAATCTTCTAGTAAGGAGAAACTTAAGAGCGGTTGTCTGTAATAGTCAGGTAAGACGTGTAAAATGAGAAAATTCAAACTCGTTCAAACTTTGTCAGAATATAGGCCTATATGAAATATTAATGTTGTGAAAGTTTTATTTCGATCGGATAAATATTGAAGGAGAGAGACGTCGAAATTGGTTTTCCCAGGCCACTTTCGATTTTTAGAGGTCATTTTACGGCACTACCAAAATCGCTCTATTTTGCGCGTTAATGGGAATATTTCACAAAACATGATTTCATTTTATAAATTAGAGATATTTATTGATTAGCAGACGAAATTTAGAGACATTTCTGTAAAAAGTGAATATTTTACAGATTTTCTTAATGTTTTTTTATTTTCGAACCTCTTTATTATATGCCATATTAGGCAGCGAATATCTCCATTGTTACATCGATTCAGACAAAAATTCATAACCAGATCAAAGAAATATGTTTTCCCTTGCTATTGATCAAACAAAATTTTTGGGCAACTTAGAATTGAATTTTTAACGAATTTTTTCGTAACCCCTATTTGACCGGAATAACCGTATGTTAATATAATCAGCGTCGAGTCATGTAGTTCAATAAATAACCAAAGAGCTCGTCAAAAGCGTTTATTTCTTCGAGTAAACAAGCCTAGGCCTATAAAACTACCTTAGCTAAAGCTGTACGATTGCCTGAAAGCATTTAGGTCTAAATCACACTGTTTACAGTCGCTTATTGTTCAGGTAATGCCCGATAGCCGGTGCCGCTGATTTGGCAGATTTGGTTTCAATTATATTTTATCAGGGATATGCCGCGATAAGTATAGCGAGTATATTTTCTCTCCCCCTCCCATAAACTCGTGTTCTCACATAAATAGTGCACACGCTTTTTGTAAAAAAACATAGGCCATTTGCAAGGTCATACGATGCAAACGTCGCATTGTTTTGACGTTTTTTTAGTCGTATTTCCGGTTGGGATAGCTCACGCGATTGTCTGAACAAAAATATAGACTAGCCATACATTTCGCCGAAAATAACTTCGACCCCTTCAAACATATCGTCTTTGTAATAGTCTTGTTCGAATCCCCATCAAAAACACTATTTAGATTGTTATTTGCAAGCCTGTATCTTCAAATTTGCATCTTTTATCACGGTATTTCCATTTCTTGTCCGGCTGTGAGCTCGAGGCTCGAAGTAATTTGATAGTATACGATCGCATTTGACTTTCAAACTCCCATAAATCGCTACAATGTTAATAATGACTATAACTATCGTTCGGAATTAGTTGATCTTTTATTTCTGAATCGAATGGTGGTATTTCTGTCTTCATAGCATGTACTGAACCGAAGATATGAAATTTCTAGCCGTCAACCTCTCGAGGACGACCTCGCAAAGAGTTTTAATTTAATT